ACGAGAGAGAGAAAAAGAACTGTCAATGAAGCCGATCGAAGAGGAACGAAAAAGTTTATGTCGAATTAATTTTCTGTAGTTATAATCAGTAAAGATATTAAATAGAAAAAAGGTTTGTGATTAAGTAGATATTACAGTCCCAACATTTGGGTTTAGTTTTAGGCCGTGCTTTGCGAATATTTAGAGACGGATTCTAGACAATCTTTAAGTCTCCTTGAGGCTTCCACTGCATCAGATTGTGAAAATGAAATCTTTATTTGCGTGTCATCTGCGTATCTGTGACTATTACACTCTTTAAAACAATTCGACATATCCGCTGTGAATTATGAAGAAAAGAGGACCTAAAAGTGACCACCGAGGAAAACTTCCAAAGGCAACTTCATGTTATCCAATACCACCAGCTGAGACCTGCCGTCCAAATAACTACGGATTAGCTGGATAGTTCTAAATTTAAATCCGAAATGGCTTAACTTGGCACAAAGCAGAACGTGGTTAAGGGTGTCAAATGCTTTGCTGTAATCTAGTAATACTAGGGCAAATGTTTTTCCCTTGTCTGCTGCCAGTAAGATGTCATCCAGCACTTTTAACAAAGCCGTGGCTGTACTGTATCCTTTACGAAAACCTGACTGCAGTTTGGGTAACAGGTTGTTTCCAGTGAAATATTCAATAATTTGTCTGTTGTCTGTAAATAAGCTTTTCAAACACCTTAGAAAACACTGGTAACAAGCTAATGGGACAAAGTTCCGTGATGGTTTTAGGGCTGCTTACTTTTGGTAACGGTTTAACTTCCGCCACCTTCCACTGTCAGGGAAAAATGCTTTTTTCTATGCATGAGTTAAATATTTCAGTAAGAATAGGTATGATTGTTGGACAACATAGACTCAGCATGTGAAGCGAGATCCCATCGGCACCAGATTTTTTTTTTGTGATACGACATCATCCTCTTATATAAGTTTGAGTTCAAACTCTGATATGGTGCATTTAGTATTAAGGTACTATTTTTCATAATGGTATCATGGTTCACATTATTAGGGATTTGTCTAACAGAATCTATAAAGTATTTATTAATTACGTCAGGCTTTTTCAAGTGATTAGGGATATCCATATTTTTCTTTGACCTACTGTGTATATTAAGGTGATCGAGAGTTTTCCAGATTTCTTTGAGGTTTTTGATGAACTTTTAAAGACTTACATAGTCAATATAAGATTTTTTTTCCGCCCGAACGGCTGACGTGAAAAGATTTTTAATCTCCTTATATGCTTCCCAATCGCGCATGCTTTTAGTCCGTTTATATCTAGAAAATAAGTTATTGCGATGCATTTTCATTGCACGCAGGGCATCAGTGAACCAGGGAGAAGGAGGTCTGGTAACTTTTTTTTCAGATATTGGAGCATGACATTCAAAGAGGGCCAAAATCATTTCAGAAAGTAAAGAAACTTTTTGGTTAACTTTTTCAAAGTCTAAAACCTGCCACCAAGGCAGGTTGATAAGATCTTGTGTGAACGTGTTAATGTCGAATTGCTTGAAATTACGATATTTAATAATTTTTGGCTTAGCCGCAGATACTTTGATGTTAAGAGTGCAATTGATTAATTGATGATCAGAATGATTGTGCATATCATGGTGTTGAACAGCACCACTTAAAAGACGGTCATCTGACAAGATGGTAACGTCAATCAAGCTAGCCTTCTCTCGAGAGTATCTGGTGGGATTTAATACAACCTGCTTACAGTTCATTGAAAGCATCAAGGAGATTGTCAAACTGGCTAGTAACATTAGTATATCTCAACAGGTTGATATTAATGTCACCCATTACAATTAGTTCATCTGTTAAAGGAACAACGTTGGCTATAGTGTCTTCCAATTGATGTAACGCAGTTAGAGCGTTATAGTTTGGATATGCATAGTCCGATTTTAACCTTGTTAATTTTCAAGGTAAGCCACTGTTGCTCAAAGCTTCCCGTTTTGTTCTCCACAACATCCATTACCGTAGTATTTAAGTCCGATCGAACATAAACACCTATGCCCCCTCCTCTGGATTCCCGATCAACTCGAAAGAAATTAAAATTTTGTATGTGAATATCAGCATCAGTTGTTTTGTTGTTAAGCCATGACTCAGATACTCCTAATATACCCAGCTCTAAGTCATTTATCAATGTCTTGATTTTATAAAAACTTGGTAATAAAGATCGCACATTTATATGACCTATTTTTAAGTTCTTTTCCTTATTTTGACTATTCATAAAGATAAAAAAAAGTTAAGTGGTAAGCAAGTGGATAAAAACTAAAAACAGAAATAAAGTAGGTAACAAAACGAATTATAACAGAAACAGATAAAAATAATGAAAAAAAAACACGGATAAGAGTTTATTTCAGTAAGTCTTTAAGGTGGCTTTCATTCCGGACAGCAACAACTTTGGAATCATCATTCTTGCGTGATAATATTTTCCCATCTCGATGCCACACATATTTGTAGCCGACACCTCGAAGTTGTTCCTTGGCATTTTTAAAGAGCGCATAGGTCTCTTTTGTAAGCTCCTCATCAACAAAAATTCTATCATTCGAATCAGAAAATTTAGTATTTTTTAGTGTCAGTTTTCCTTTTCTGTCACGAGATTGAAGAATTTGCTTTTTATGTTCTGGTTTTACGGTAACGATGACTTTTGTACCGCTTTTTGTTGGCACTTGTCTGAAGTTGGATATATCGTTTGAGGTCAAGGGCGTGTCCAAGAAAGAAAATAGGATTAGGGTATTTTAAGTGCTTTCTTCTTTAGCAGTGAGGCCCGTAATTGACAAGTTGTTTTCAATCTTTTTCATTTGCACAGTGTTAGATACTGATTTCAATTTGTCAACTTCAGCTTTCAGAACTTTCAGAATACCAAGAGACAACTTTTAATCCGCAAACTGCTTACATTATTTCACTAACAAGAGAAAAAAAGTCAGTGGTGTACATGCTTGTTTTAGAAAAATATTCCAGTGATAACCCATATGAACGTCCCTGGTGAATATGTCGACACGTTTTTAGCTTTAAAATATGTCGTGTAATGGGATGGATTGTGGGGGTTTAATTAGAGATGGAAAATAATGTGTAGACGATCAGACGCAGCTTTATTCAGTCTAGTGCTTCAGGCTCGATCTAATACAAAAAATCCCTTAATTATGGTAACAGGTAATTTGCGATTAGCAAACAGAAAAACTCACCTAATACTGGGATACAGCTCACTAATATATTTATTATATTATTCACTAACACCCTCATGGCTGTTTGATCGGCCATCAAACTGCGAATATTCATACGGCAGTAAAAACCTACCTATATTTTAATAGAATACCACATTTTTTGCAGGGTATAAAACTTAATGGTTCCCTCGCACTTGCCCAGCGCATTCACCGTATTTAACAATAGTAAATAAAATAATAACAACAATAATACCAAATAGCTCCCGTTACAGTCGCATATATAGTAACTTTTATACTCAAAATTTCATTCGAAACGCTAAAAGTACTTGGAAGAAAATTATAATAAATCGAAAAAATATTAAGACTAACACCCTATAGCTACAAAACAAAGCAGAATCGGACCTATGTTGATATGAAAAATAAATCTTATTTTTACATACCCACGAGAGACGGCATATGTTTTTTGAAACACCCTATATAGTGTAGGTTTTTATATATTTTTTATTCGTTGTTTCATTTTGACCACGTAATTAATTTTTAATTGTAATCGTGATGCCCATTTTTCATAAACCATCTTACCCTCACTAGATTTTGTGTAATGCGTCATCTCACCCATATCAGGGCGGGTAAGATGGATTAAAGCTACACGCACACTGGTGCGATCACGGCCGCGATCACGATCACGATCAGGGCAGCGAAAACATGAGCGATCATTCTAGCACACACCAACGCGTTCACGTTCACCGCCGTACCTATATGTAGTGCGCCATCCTGTAGGTATATATAGGTACAAATTAAAAAAGGTGAATTATGTATACCGAACAAAAAACATTCTTAAATATTTCCCTACAATATTTACACTTAAACAATAAAAATGTATACATATGTAGTATCCAATCCAATTGCAACTCAAATTTTGTCTCTTTTTATTATTTTTATTGTCTCTTATATATAAACTTTTTATTTTTAATTCTATTATTTTTGTAACTTGGATCGGATAAATCATAGAGAATTTTGTGTATTTTTACAGCCTTAATTAGCTGCTCTGTAAACTCCATTTCTAAATTGCAACAAGAAAAAAAAACACAAAATAACAGAAAATTCCTATCAGTTGGGTCGCGATCACGCGATCAAACTCGACAAGTTGAATCTGATCGCCACCGCAGAATAGAACGCCGCCAGGCCGCTTCGTCTCCAAAACTCCATCGCGTCAATGTGAAACGGCTCATACATATCCTTCAGCAACTTTTGGCCGAGGCCGCGTGGAGATCGTGATCGCGGCCGTGATCGCGCCAGTGTGCGTACAGCTTTAATGATAATCGGGTACTTAATTATAGGACCCACATGAGCAATATATCAATCGTAGCAGATAACATCTTTATTCGTTGAATTATATTTTAATATCAATTTAAAAAAAAGATGGACCATCCCTCCCGACTTTAGGTACCCTCTAAAGCAATCTCATATCAAAATAATATTTTTGTACTTATCAGATGAAAACTTTATAGTAAAACATTACCAAAAAAAGGAAAACTGATATCTGTCATTTAAATCGTTAGATATGGGCTCATATTTGAGCAAAATCGCCGAAAGAACAAGAAGCCCAATTTCTCGTCATTTTCTCTTTTAATTTAAAACTTATTTCAGGTATTGCCAATACCAGTAACATAAATTATATCAAATAACAAAAATATCTTCGACTTGCCATTCTTTTGAAACTAATAAATTGGTTAATTAGTTTACCCATAAATTTCATAATAATTTAAATTTTTGAATCAGAATTTAAAAATATTATATAATATATTCTCTAAATATTTACCTATAAGGGATTTCTCATCTAAATCGGAAGCACATTTTACTAAATCGTATATTTCCTTCTTCTAATGATACGTTCTAGGAACGTCCCATAACTCGAAGTAATCGGGCGGGCTTTGCTATTTATATCTCGTAGGACCGAGCCACGGGCTTCCCAAAATCTGACAAGAGGCGAGCACTATCACTAACACTATCACCACACCGATTAGGGAATAAACTATGCATAAGTGGACCAGCGAGAACACGTAGAGCGTACGGTGACACCATTTGTTAGGTTCGAAGAGTGTCGGTGCATAGTCGGGCCATCTTATTCGCAGGATCCAATAGTTGCCCAGGCCGAACCAGATAATCAAAAGGATAGTCATTGCGATCTGAAAAATATAAAAATATACATCAATATTGTAAAATGTACATAGTAAAATATTTAAATTCTTCTAAAACAACAAAAAACGTAAAAAATATCATATAACATGGCGTCTCTTAGGAAAATTCTTCGTTTAATATGGACAAGATACAGTTTAGAGAAACTTCTGAACAGGTATTGAACCTCTGAACAACAATTTTTAATATCACCTTGTATATATTTTGGCATTTTTTAGATACAACATAATATTCTTATTTAGGTTAAGCTACGTTGCTGGGGTCTGGAATCCTGTTTGATTCCTCACTCGGAGGCTTTTGAGATAAATGTTGACATTTGTCTGGTTTTGCATTGTTACCCGTTCAGATTTAATTTAAAAATAGATGCAGTTTTTCTTAAATTAGTTAAAAACGGCTTATCCAAAATTCTTCAAATTTGGAAAGTGTATTCAATGTAATATAATAAAGCTCCCTTATACGGCTCTTAACGCCTTGGGTGTAGCAAGGTATAGCTTGCCAAGCTACAGCCGTTCGGTATACAAGGAAGGTAATGTGGCTAGCACTATGCTTCAACCGCCTATTATTACCTCAGAATTGTGAATCCCAAGTACTCATTTAAGGCTGAGTCGACCTAGGTACCTAAACTATTTTTATTTTAATAAAAATAGTCGGCTGATGAAATGCCGGCTGTAGAATTCGAACCCACAACGTTTATATTGGTAGACGAGAGCTGTACCTCTACGCCACCCGGCACCTTCGGGTATTCAATATAGGGAGACCTTTAAAAACCATATACGACTTCGCTGTAGAATCAACAGAGGAGATAATATTTGGACTGCTCAAAATTTTCATGAGATTTTCTATATTCAAACGCCGGTGCACCACCCGGTATATACCAAGGTGTAAAACTAGCTTTTTTGCTTAGTATCAAAAATAGCCCTATTATACTCAAAAATTAATACTTTTGTATCATTTGATAATAATTTATGACAACTGATATAAAAATAAATAGTCAAAATGGAATTCCGAAATTCTTTTAGTATCAACACTAAATAATTGTCTATATATACATTCACAGATTTTATTGTTCATTTCCCAATAAAGACGAAAATTTCTAGTGGTAGCCCCTCATAAATTAAAAATAGCATTTATGTAATTTCAAAATTAATTGTGAGATGGACAATAGTAGAGCATTAATTTGTATTACTAGACATTTTGATACACCGATATAAAACTACAATTCTGTGGAGAAAAATTATCGTTTCAATGGCCAACAATGAAATTATGAAATAATGAGATATTTCGCTGCACAACGGGTCTACATACATACAGCCGTTACTCGCTGACGAGTATTCGACACAGATAAAAAAGATGGTCACGCAAGGCATTTTCTTTCATGAGCTTTTCTGTGACTGAAAAGCCCGATACGTGATGTTATCTGCCTACTGCACTCCGGACATTCAAAAATCTCGTTGCTTTGTTGCCTCTTTACTTTTTGGTTGTCGCTGTTAACTGACTTTACAACACTTCTCCATTGAGTTCTATTGTGAGCTGCTTTTTTCCACTCATTCTACATGTTAATCCCCTTCAAGTTTTCGTGGAAAATGTCCTTGTACCTTTTTAGTTGTCCACCCGGCCTCCTCTTACCGTCTACAAGCTCATCGTAAAGCAGAGATTTTGGTATTTCTTGCATTCTGCATACGTGACCAGCCCATATTAAGCGGGTTTTGTAACCATGACTTCAATACTCTCGCAGTTAGCTTTTTCAAAAACCGATACATGATGGAACCACCGGATTCTTAAGAGTTGTCTAAGATGTCTCTGTTACAACTTGTTTAATGCGTTCATATGTCGGCGACACGGCACCCAATTTTCACTCCCACATAACATGGTGGGGATTATAATTGCTCGGTACACTGCAAGTTTTGTTTTTGTACTCAACTCATGATTGTAGAAAACTCTGTCTTTTAATTTCCAGAATGCTCTTGAGGCGCTACTAATCCTGTGCTGAATTTCAGAGTCAATATTGGCCTTTTCAGAAATCAAACTGCCAAGGAATTGAATTCCGCCACATATTCCAATAGTTCTTCTCCGATTGTTATAGCATTGTTGTGATCTTCCGGGGGAGTGCACATGATTTTAGTTTTGTCGATGTTTAGCTTAAGGCCCAAAGTCTCCTAGGCCCAGGTATATGTGCTCAACATTTCTTGTAATTGTCGTACCGTGTTTGCAACTAGAGTGCAGTCGTCAGCGTATTGAAGTTCTGTGATGAATTTTGTACGTGTTTTTGCCCTGAGTCTTTTTATGTTGAATAGACCGCCGTTGTATCTGTATCTAATGCCCAATCCTCTCTCCTGCAGTTTGCTGTCCACTATAATGGAGAGCGCTGCCATGAATATGTTAAATAGGAGAGGCGCTAAGACACATCCCTGCCTAACTCCTATATTTGTTAGGAATGGGTCGCTCAGTGATCCATGATATGACACTCTTGACTTGTTGTTGTTATGGAGGCTTTTACACACTGTAAGAAATTTGTTGGGTACTCTGAACGTTTTCATAATTACCCAAAGCGCATCTTTGTTCACAGAGTCGAAGGCTTTTGTTAGATCGATGAATGCAACATAAAGTTTAGACTGCTGCTCTTTTATTTTTTCCTGTAATTGACGGATGGAAAATATGGAATCGACGGTGTCGCGGTTGGTACTAAACCCGTTTGCGATTCTGGAAGGATGTTTTCTATATATGGGTGCAGGCGGTTTGAAATTATTTTTGCAAGAATTTTTCCGCCGATGGGCAATAGCGAAATTCCCCGGTAATTTCTGCAGTCTGATGCACTTCCTTTGTTCTTAAATATATTCACAATATTCGCGTTGCGAAAGTCCTGAGGTACCTCTCCGCTTTCCCATACAACATCAAAGAGAGCCTTAAGATGACCAATAAGTTCTTTACTTGCACACTTATAGATTTCCGCCGAAATCGCGTCACAGCCAGCTGATTTGTTGTTTTTAAGCTGTTTTATGGAGGTCTTTATTTCCTGTTCTGTTATTGGGATGTCTAATACATCAAGGCTGTTATACTGAGGTATTGTGTTTAGTGCTTCCATATTGGGGTTGTTTTCTTGGTTAAGGATATGGCTATAATGTTCTTTCCAGCGATTTCTGATTTGTTCTTCCTCTTTTAGAAGTTCGCCATTTTGTGCCATGATTGGGCAGTTTACCTTCTTAGTTGGACCGTATACTTCTTTTGCAGCTTCTAAGAATTTACGATAATCGTGATGCGTGGCGTACTCTTGAATCTGATTGGCTTTTTGTGACCACCAGTTATCCTTTACTTGGCGCAGTTCTCTTCGAAGCGTGTTGTTGAATGCTTTAAAGTTGTCTACCAGTCTAGGATTATGTGGATTTCCAGTGACTGCTTGATGTGCTCTAAGCTTTTGTTCCAACAAAGCCTGTATATGCGGTTGATTTTCGTTAAACTAGTTGGTTGTTTCTTTTTGTTCGATTTTCCCAGTACTGCTACGCTGGTTTTATGAATCGCATCCCTTAATTGTGTCCAGCCTTGTTCAGCTTCCAAGATTGAGATTGAAGTTATCGGTGGAAGGGATTCTTTGATGAGTTCCCGGAGGGCGTCGGCGGTATTGTTGTTCTCCAGACCCCGTACGTTCAATCTGGTCATGTTGTTTTGTTTTTTACAGTGTGGTTGTTTGGGTTTTAACTGGATTTTCATTTTTGAAATTAAAAGTCGGTGGTCAGTGCCGCATTCGGCATCTATTCTGGCTTTTGTGAGCCTAACATCTTTTAGATACGTCCTTCGGATGATTATGTGGTCCAATTGATTTTCCATGTTTTCCCAATACGTCCGGCCATATTTCCTGTTGTTTGCCAACGCGGGCATTAAAGTCACCTAGCAAGATGATTCGTTCGTGCTTTGGAATTCGTTGGAGGGCATTTTGTAAAGCTTGGTAAAATTTATCCTTATCCTCAATTTTAGCGTCAAGGGTGGGAGCGTAGTCACTAATGATGTTGACATAAGTTTTGTCTGATATGGGGTACCTTAGGGTCATAAGACGTTCGAAGACACCAATAGGTACTTCTGTCAATTTGGTGGCGATTTCGTTTTTGATCGCAATGCCTACGCCATGAATTCTCCTGTGTGTTGAGGGGTGACCTTTCCATAAAAAGGTATAATGCTCCTCAGTGAGACTACCTTCATCCGCAAAGCGTGTTTCGCTTAGAGCGGCATCATCAATTTTTAATCGGTGGAGTTCCTGTGAGACCAGTGCTGTTCTTCTCTCTGGTCGATTTGAATTTATCTTGTCCAATAGAGTGCGGACGTTCCACGCCGCAAACGTGAAACATTGATGTTTTTTGTTTCTCCGATGATACGCTCGAGTAGGCACCCCCTCCCGGAGATTCGATTGAGGGGGTATTTTACTTCCGGACAATAATTTTGTCCCACTCGACTGTTCCATCATTGCTGTGTGTAAGCTGCGTGAAAGGTTTAACTGTGGCGGTTACGCTGCCTCACAGTTTTGGCTGCAACTGTAGCACGGGATGGCTATGGCACGGTGAGGACTGCGACGATAGTTCCCTTGTGCTACGTTCTCGGCCAGCTAGGTGTAGTTTACTACTCCTTTTCCCCAGAAGATGGTAGGTCTGAGGGTTGTATAAGGTTATACCGCCTATACTCGGACGCCAGAGCCTCGTTTGTGTAAACAGGGTGCACCACCTGAAGGTGAGGTTGACTTTTGGGTAATCTAGGCTATATGTATCGCTTCAATACCCCTTGCACCCCTTGCATAACGGGTCTACCGAGAGTATGTGGAAAAAATAAAGTATTCATTGTTTTAAACCTTTTTTCGTGTTAAAAATTGAAAATTAACGCCACCTGGTGTAACTTGGTAGAACTAGCCTATTTAAGGGAAATTGGAGGGGAGAGGTAATCTTTTTAAATATATTTTATCCGAATTTTTACTGTTTAAAGTTTTAACTTAAACTGTTAAAATTATTCA